ATTTTCCATCGCTTCAATTGAGAACAAGTATTATGATCGTGATATGTAACCTTAATCCTACCTCTATTTTTAATGATTTTGAATTTTTCCTAATTTTCTCCTTATTGAAATTGATAAAAATGCAACATGTAGTGTTTTGATGATTTTTTGTCATGTAACTTTTGATATGTGATATATATCATTGTCCTGGGTATTTTAACTTGCTAATATTGAAATTTCACAAAAGTGATTTTATTTATATGTCGTTTTAATTATAATGAGTAGTATAATATTGAGTATAAAATGATCATAAATTATTATATTACCATTATAAATGAAATATACTATAGCAATATATTTATTGTTCATTTATTCAAACATACATTTTTAGCATATTATAGGCATACAGATGAGCAAAGTGATAATTGCATTGGATTTATATGACATTTTCTACTATGCTCTATATAATATGAAATATGTGTATATGCAAAAAAGATTAGATGAAAATAATTAACTGATTCAAGTTGCTTGGAGATATGCTAACCTGTACAAGATGATAGATCGATAAACTTTTTTTAGATAAAAATTGTGGTGCAATCTTAAGTAATATAAAAAATAGGTATAAGGGATTGACTAATATGACATGATACACCAACATATATGAAGTCACGACTTCTTACATGGACGTCACCTGACTTTATGATATGCGATATGAGATCAATTCGTGATAATAAGGCTAATATGATTGAGACTAATTTTTGAAGGGCTGGCCTACATAACATGATATAGGAAAAACACCGATGGTAGCCATGTGTCCTATCTTGCTTGCATATACATATGACATTAGCATACATAATGAATTGCATAAGTGATATGATATAATATGATATAAACACAATACAAATCATGATCGTGACAATTACATTATATAACTAATAAGATTGATACAAAGACATCTAATACATATGAATCATATTATATATATTGCATTTATACATGATACAATATTTAATATACATGCTTTGTTACTATACATCACATATATATCAGACGCATAACACATGCTTTATATAACAAGTATACTGATACATATGTGACAACATATAAATTGAGATAAAAGGGCATAATTTATAGGCATGTACAAATTCATGATAGGCCTGTTACATTGCACTTGACATGAGTATAGGAATTACAAAATTTAAAGATCATTTATATGACTACGAATCACTAATTATGAATTATTTTGCTTACCTTGATTTTTATTACTCATATGAGATGACACTGATCACATTGACTCTTACTTGCTTTCACAATTATATGTTCATATTGATATTGGTTGAATGATTACATATATATTGGCATTTTGTTTTTGTATTGATTGCAGTTCTAAGTTATAGTAATCTAAGAAGTTTTTAGCTCACTTGGTGGTATTTACATGTTTTTCATGAAAGGATTATGATCCAATGGAGTGAGATTGATCATGATTCAAGTTTTGTTTTATATATTTTTTGTTCTATCTTTTTGTAGTCAGAAGTAGAGATGGAATGATTCAATGATTGAACTTCTGGGTATTGTATATGAATTTTGAAAAATAAATAGAATTATATACTGAAGAAAATATTTTGATGTTATTTCCACTTGTTTCTACGTATTGAAATTAGATTAGTTGCTATATTAAATTAATTAAGAAATTCAAATAGATAATGATTACAAAATTTAATTTTGGGGCATCACTGTACAGAAGCCTAATGACAATGGTCAAACATCATTAGTATGACAACAGTTGTTGGACGGTGTTGGTTCAATGAAAATGGTTTGATGATGGTTCAATATATCTAGTCGTCGGACTTCAAAGATTTAATGATATAGTCGGTGGTGGTGGATTGAGGTAAAACATTTCATCAAATAATATTAATTCCCTTGATCATAAAGTGTTCATTCAGAATTTAGATACTTTATATATATATATATATAGTATATATATATATATATATATATATATATATATATATATAATTTTAACGACAAAGGTATTGAGGGATTAGCTATGGCATGGGAAGTGAGTTTGTCATTAGAAATAAATAAGAAGATAATTAAAAACAACAATTGTAAATCAATATACATCAAAGTTGATGTATTTTTAGGTATTGACTCTTATAAGTTGGAAGTTATGCAAAAAATATTAGATGAAAATAATTAACTGATTCAAGTTGCTTTGAGATATGCTAACCTGTACAAGATGATGGACCGATAAACTTTTTTTAGATAAAAATTGTGGTGCAATCTCAAGTAATATAAAAAATAGGTATAAGGGATTGACTAATATGACATGATACACCAACATATATGAAGTCACGACTTCTTACATGGACGTCACCTGACTTTATGACACACGATATGAGATCAATTCGTGATAATAAGGCTGATATGATTGAGACTAATTTTTGAAGGGCTGGCCTACATAACATGATATAGGAAAAACACCAATGGTAGCCATGTGTCCTATCTTGCTTGCATATACATATGACATTAGCATACATAATGAATTGCATAAGTGGTATGATATAATATGACATGCACACGATACAAATCATGATCGTCACAATTACATTATATAACTAATAAGATTGATACAAAGACATCTAATACATATGAATCATATTATATATATTGCATTTATACATGGTACAATATTTAATATACATGCATTGTTACTATACATCACATATATATCAGATGCATAACACTTGCTTTATATAACAAGTATATTGATACATATGCGACATCATATAAATTGAGATAAAAGGGCATAATTTATAGGCATGTACAAATTCATGATAGGTCTGTTACATTGCACTTGACATGAGTATAGGAATGACAAAATTAAAGATCATTTATATGACCACGAATCACTGATTATGAATTATATTGCTTACATTGTTTTTTATTACTCATATGAGATGACACTGATCACATTAACTCTTACTTGCTTTCACAATTATATGTTCATATTGATATTGGTTGAATGATTACATATATATTGGCATATTGTTTTTTTTTTATTGTATTGATTGCAGTTCTAAGTTCTAGTAATTTAAGAAGTTTTTAGCTCACTTGGTGGTATTTACATGTTTTTCATGAAAGGGTTATGATCCAATGGAGTGAGATTGATCAAGATTCAAGTTTTGTTTTATCTTATGTATTTTTTGTTCTATCTTTTTGCAGTCAGAAATAGAGATGGAATGATTCAATGATTGAACTTCTTGTTATTGTATATGAATTTTGAAAAATAAATAGAATTATATACTGAAGAAAATATTTTTTAGTTATTTCCACTGGTTTTTACGTATTGAAATTAGATTAGTTGCTATATTAAATTAATTAAGAAATTCAAATAGATAATAATTACAAAATTTAATTTTGGGGCGTCATAGTACATGAGCCTAATGACAATGGTAAAAAATCATTAGTCTGACAACAGTTGTTGGAAGGTGTTGGTTCAATGAAAATGTTTTGATGATGGTTCAATATATGTGGTCGTCATACTTCAAAGATTTAATGTTATAGTCGCTGGTGGTGGATTGAGGTAAAACGTTTCATCAAATAATATTAATTCCCTTGATCATAAATTGTTCTTTCAACATTTATATACTTCAATGATGTGTGTGTGTGTGTATATATATATATATATATATATATATATAATTTTAAAGGCAAAGGTATTGGGGGATTAGCCATGGCATGTGAAGTGGGTTTGTCATTAGAAAGAAATATAAAGATAATTAAAAACAACAATTGTAAATCAACATACATCAAAGTTGATGTATTTTTAGGTATTGACTCTTATAAGTTGGAAGTTATCCATGTATTATCCAGAAATTTAATTATTGCTTCTAGTCATAATGAATATGAAAAATCTGTAGTTCATAGTCATTTTAAAGTTTCAGTTTGGTCACCAGTATGAATTGACATCTCCAATTCATAAAACTTATATTTTGAAGCATTCATTGAATCACCATCATCTAAAACTTCTAAGTCCAAAGTATCATCTATTTATGTAGGTAGAGTGTTTAGGGTTGACGATCATTAAATAGACTAGTGAAATATGATGAATTTATTGATATTACACCAACCTTATTTGCCCAAGGAAATGTAGTTAAATTTTTTTTAGTAGTGATCGCAAATATGAGAGCCCAATGTTTTTATGGATAAGGAAACATCTTCCAAGAAAAAAAAAAAAACATAATCATTATCCATAAAGAGCCCTATTAAAAAAATTAATGATACTTCATCAAAGTGGTACAAAAGATCAGTTTCAAATTTGAGCGTTTCATATCAACAATAGTTATAATGTATATAAGATCAATGATATTGTTTAAGAAAACATTTATATGTATTTCTAGTAATTTACTTCATTTTATAATGAATATTCAACCAACATGTATGCCATATTTTAATTTCATTTCATACAATACAAAAACGTTGATATTTGATTAACCTATTAAAAAATGCATTGTTGAGTATAAATTGAAATTAATCAAAGTATATTCTAACCTATTTGAATATTAATCGAGTAATGATCAAATATACTCAACATGCAATCGAATAATATTTGAAGACGTAACAAAAACATTCACCTGATTTAACGGATGATCATAACGTATTCAACAAAAGATATTTTGAACGTTAATCAAATAAAGATCGAAGAGCATAATGTTTAATACATTGAATCATATTCAAACATGATTAGAAGGTCTGAACATAGTTCGTATGTTGTTCTTCTAATAAATATTGAAAAAGCTCTGATGAAGATAGGACGACAATGATAACAATGGAGAAAATAAAAATGGAGAATGGTGGACATCTTCCACAAGGTATTTTCATTGGAAGGAAAATTTAAGATATAGCTATCGGAAGGTATTTTTTTCAATTTTAAAATATTATGATATAAATAAAGTTAAATTATATTTATACAAATATATATTATTGTATATTATGGAAACTATGAGATATATATTAAATCAAATTATCCCAAAACACCGAACTTTATCCTCTCGTTGTTCGGTCTCCTTCCCTCCGAAGGTGGAGGTGGCTCTTACCAAAAATAATGACAACAGCTTTCTTCCGTCCATCCTCTCTCACTCGCCCCGCGGCTTCTCCCTTTCCCCAAATCAGGTCTCTCTCTCTTTCTCTCTCTCCCTTCATCTCCCCTCTCTGTCTTTCTACATCTCACTCTCTCAGACACATTTATGATAGATTTTAGTTTATTATTTCAAAGATAATCTATGTTTATGATGGGATTAATTGGTTGCAGGGAAAGAAGAGGGGTTCGGTTTCGGAAATACCGCAGTCCTATCTTTTTTGCCGCTTTATTGCCCATATGCAAAGCTGGTCCTTTGAGACGCGATGTAGTTTTGCTCGGCTGTTGTTCGGCTATGAATATCATCTTTTCTTCTGCTGGTAAGTGATAAACCTCTTGATTTTCTTATGCGCTTTCTATGATTCCAAGGCTTTGGTTTTTAGGATTTTACTACTGGATTTTAAAATTATTCAGACAAATTTGATTTCTGGTTGAGCATCTCATGTCTGACCTGCTTTGCTTGTTTGAAATCTGTTTTACTGGATTTTAAATGCTTGCTAGGAACCACTCATTATTCGGGCCTTAGCCCTAGGAATCACTCATCACTTGTTGATTATGTTAATATATACATATTTTGGGTTATGTTAGCGATCGTATAAGGCGCTCTCTTTCATCCACCATTCTAGTGGTAGTCTCGTGGATCACTGAAAGACCATTCTTATTATGGTCCAACTAACAAAAGTTCATGAAAAATGTAACTAGTTCTAATTTCTAAATCACTGCTCATATGCAAAATGCTGTTTGCTTTTGGTTGACACTAGATATTGGAAGTATGACCTGATCTTCTATAGCCTTGTGCCGAAACTTATTGTTGTTATAACCATTATTTTTCGATTGATAAATTTTGAAGTACAACTATGCCAATTTTGCTATTGATATATGCTCATATGTGCTCCTATTTTGTCGGCTAAATTATTTAACATCTAATGATGCTCATATTGTTTTTATGGCGCTTGCGTAGTTTTGCATGCTGCCATTGAAGTGGATGAAGATGTCAAAATGGCTTTAGTTGTTGATGACATAAATGCATACTCCTTTCTATATCCTGCTGAAGTACCTGCAAAGAAGTTCTCCTTCAGATGGTAATTTTTTTTTAAAGTTAGAAGTTAAATGTTTCTTTTGTATCCGGCATGGAGTATTTTTGGGAATAGTTTGTATCCTGTTATTTCCTCCGACAACCTATAAAAAAAATCCTTGTTTTGTGGATATTCTTATGAATCTGCCACAACTAATGCTTCATAATTTCCTTTTCTTCTTAAATTATGTCAATGATATATTTTTTGAATTAGTCAGAACCATGGGTAATTCTTTTTTTTTTTTGGTTTATTTTTTCCAGTGATATTTCCCTTGAATTAGTTAGATCCATGGCTATGTAAAATTCGTCAAAACTGCTATCAATTTCCGTCCTTACTTATTTCAGATGTTACAGTGTGGGTTAATATTGGTTGAGTTTTTAGCTGATATTGATAGAATTTACCCAACAAAGGTCATGAACAAGCAAATGACAGGCTAGTAAAGCTTGCTTGCAATGGTCAACCAAGGATGGATGAGACAGGAAAAGAGAGTAGCTCATGGACTGCAATGGGGCGGAGGAACTAGTACTCTGTGCGTGTTTGGAAGTGAGATATTTGAGTGGAAGGAATGAAAAACAGGGCTGAAATGCTTAAATTAATTATTGTATATTCATAGTTAACCTATAAATTATTGGGATTTAAAGAATTTGAATTGGATACTTGTATTCTTCCTTCTACCTTTTATGAACAACCATGGGAAAAAATGTAAGTAGAGGATAGGAAGGTTTTTAAAACAATGAAATAGAAAGAAACTTGAGTTTGGAGGACCGACCACCCAGATTCAATACTAAATAAAATAAATAATAATACAATCAATTAATCTATGTGTCATATGTGATCTATACTTGAATTTCACCACATAGCTATATGGTAGTTGTTTATTATTCCCAATTTAGAACTCAATTTCTCAAAATTTAATTGCGAATGGGTCTTGGTGAGAATCTCTGCAATTAGTGGATGAGTTGTAGCATACATACGTAGTATAATCTGATCTTCTCCTCGATGAAGTGCTGATCTATTTCAACATGATTGGTCGGTTATGATGCGAATACTTATTAGCAATATTTATTACAACTAGATTATATAGCAACTTTGTTGGCTGTTTTACTAATTTATAAAGAAGTCTTCTTAACTTCATTCTTTCTCATAATGTATGGGCCATTGCCTTAAACTTAGCTTCAACAATACTTCGGGCTACCACAATTGCTTTTTTTTACTACACCTAGGGGTGCAAATGAGTCGAGCAGATCTCGAGTCACCTTTGACTTGAGTTTAAGCTTGATTAAAAATCAAGTTCGAGCTTAAGCTTTATTCTATGAGTAATGAGTTCGAGTCAGTTTTTTATTATGAAAGAGAAAAAATGACTATAATTCAAGCAATTATTATATTAAAATGGTAAAAAAAAAAGAAATTTAGAGGAAATATAGTAAAAATCATTTAATATAAGAGAGTGAGATAAATTTTAAGCATTTTTAATTGCTTTGTTTTTAAAATCTTGAATGTTAATGAATTTTAAGTACATTTTATATTTATATCTTTAAAATGAGTTAGCTTGCAAGCTAATAATGAGTTAGGGTTGACTCAAGCTTGACTCGTTAGCTCATCGATCTCGGCTCATGAGCCATTTATCAAGTCGAGCTTGAGCCGGTTGACTAGTCAGCTTGACTCACATCCCTAACTGCACCACACAACTATAATTCCTTATATAAATATATAATACATTGAGGTAATTCATCGTTGAGCTAGCCCAAATAACATCAGGTAGAACAACTCCATCTTCTTATCTAAGTTTTTTCTAAAGAACATTTGCTTTCCTTTAGTCATTTCAAATATCTAAGAATTTTGAAAATAACCTCCACATATTTTTCAACAGGTTATTCATAGAACTAACCACACTCAATGGGAATTCAATATCAAGAATAATGTGAGGAAGATAAATAAGTTTGTTAACAGATATTTGATACTTGACTCCATCAACTAAAGCACTTCATCTTTGATACCTGCCTCCATCAACTAGAGCACTTCATCTGTACTTCTAAGTTTGCCACTCATATTCATGAGAGTATTTGCTAGTTTACATACTAACCTTCTTGTTTGTTTAAAGTGATCTAACTCATTTTTGTTGTAAGATTGATACGCGCTCATGAGATCAAGTCACCTTCATTTGCAGGAAATATATTAGATTTTTCAAGTTTTTAAGCATAATTATTTTGTCTAGAAGTCTCAAATGCATGTCCTTTCTTCTACGAAGTATCTAATGAGAATGCTATCATTAACATATGCAATTTACTTTCAGGTGATCTTTTGAAAAAAAGTACGATTAGCTTGACATTGCATATTGATAGGTAATGCCTGTAGAATAGAATAAAACCTTGGTTGAAATTGAATTTTAGAAAAGTTCCCAGTAATTGAGAAGAACGATGTGGAAAACTAAGAGAAAACCTTTTAAATTGATGATATATGGAAGAAAACGAACAAGTTACAATGGATTTTCAATTGGAGAGGACGATCCGTCTCTCCCAAATCTCTAGCCACCAGCTAGAGCCCAAACCTGCTAGGAATTTCTAATTTCAGCGAACACATACCTAACCCTAACCCTAACCCTAACCCTAGGAAAATAACCTACTTAAAGGATACAAAAATAATGAAAATCCCAAAACAACCCATCTTTTGAATTTTTCCTCCTAATCACCCTTAATTTTCTCTCTAATTGCTGCTAGACCTCACCCCAAAAGGGGGGCGGGAGTTTGAGGCAGAACCTGTTTGCCTCCTGTAACACGACCGTCTAACACATATATTCATAATATTTGACCATTTTGGTGAATTTGTGGAGCAAAAAATGTGGGATTGCTTCAAGCCATAGTGCTGTACAAGGATCTTTTAAGTTTTTAGACTTTGTTTACTGTGGCAGATGTTTGAAAACCAAGAGGAACGTTGACGTAGACTTTTGTGGAAGGCTTTCTAACAGGAAAATGTACAATCCAAATTAGTTGCAAGAGATAAGATTACCCATGCTGTGTTTAGTTTTGTTTGGAGCATAATTCTCTAGATGGTCGATCTCACTGGATTGCATATACCCTTTTCAAGTGCTTGAATCTTTTTCAAGATAGTAATTTTACTTGAAGGAATTTTATTTACATCAAGTATTGACTTTGGGATATGTACTTGTTTGATATTGTTAACAAAAGTGTGGAAGCTGGGAGAAAGGTGCTCATACGATACAAAGTTATAAAATATGCCGATTAGTGCAATATCTTCAGCAAATATTGTGTTAAGGCCATCATCAATCAATTTATCATTTACAAAATCATAGAAGATATGAACTTGTGAGCTTTAAGTGGTGTCTGAACTCTAATTGGATTATTGACTTTGCTCAAGAGATGCTTGGTTCTCCACTCATTCATGTTTTCTTTCCCTTTTAGTATAAACAATCATCTCATAGTTTTTGGTAATACATGTCTATGGACTAGGAGATGAGGGTTGTTTATCAAGAATAGAGAAAATTGGAATATCTATCGTGGTTTAGTTCTAACACGGGAAGTTGTGGGATTGGGCTCAATATGCATGTAGGATTCAAATATAGTGATAGTTTTAGGAGTAGTGTTTCAAAGCTGACATCCTTGAGTTTAAAAACTTCGTCTAATGGGGAGAATATACTTGCACCTATTCTAATCAGAGGAATATTCTATGAATATATATTTGATAGCCCTGAGATCAAGTTTCTCCTATTTTGTGAATGAGGATGGACATACGTAGAATGCTTGAACACTTTCATGGGAATGGTGGAGAGAATTCTAGTATTTGTATATGAGTTTTGGAGTACATGATATAGAGTTTAAATGCATTCCATTAATAACATTTATTGTGTTTAGGACCGTCCCTTCAAAATTGCCTACTACACATGAGTGATTTTGTTACCTGAAGAAGATGCTAAATTTTCTCTTAAACTATCCATTTGCTATGGTTTGTCGACACATGAGCTTTGATGAATTACTTTCTAACTTGATAGATAGTTACTAAGGGTTGATCCAAAGTATTCTTTCGCATTATCAATTTTCATTACTTATATATATTTTTGAATTGAGTTTGAATCAGAGTGTTTAAAATTTTAAATAGTTGACATACTTCAGATTTTTATTTTACAAGGGATATCTATGTGACTCTAGTGTGATTGTTTATGGAGGAAATAAACCAACAATTTCTAATAAAATTTTTAATTATGGATGGTTCCCATATATGCAAAGTGAATAAAAGAAAATTGATATGATTTTTTTTGTATGATGGATTAGGATAAGAATTTCTTACGTGCTTTAAGAATTGATCCGATTTTTAAAGTGTTCTCATTAAATTATGTTGAAATTATGCCATGTTAGAGCGATGATAAAGTTGACTCCATTGCCCATGGCGGTCATTTGGTCAAATATTGGAATCATTTTCTCAACAGTCAAGATGTTGGGGCAGAATATAGCAATGCCTCTTCAAACATTGGATTAGGGAGTTTCATGCTTTTGGTATGACCTTTTTAAAATTAATAGCTTTTGAAATAATCAGGGAATCTCAAAAGTACTAGAACAAACATGAAAAAAGTTTGGTTTTCCTAATTGTAATCATGCACATCTTCACCTCATAGCTCGAAGCTTCTCCATTGATCTCTAAAATTCTAAATGAGAAAAGTAGGAAGATGACGGTTTAGGACTGAAAGGATTATAGCGTTTCACCCCAATTTAAAGCTTGGATAGGGTCATTGGAAAACAATGGATGAAGCAATGCTTAGAAGATTTTGTATTAAAGCAGGGAGGGAGAATTGGATATGCAGTGGAGACTTGCAGGAAAGATAGAAATAGCCCTATAGAAGATCATATGTGAGTAAAGGGTAGTAAGATGAGATATTGATGGGCTGAGAAAGAACCAGATAAAGGAATGGTTGTAAGAATAGAGAAGGAAACAAGGGATATCTTCTTACTGTATACCTGATGACTAGTGTGCAAAAGGGTAGGAGATGAGTTAAT